TCCGTTTTACATTACACTTTTGAAATCAGATTCAGAACCACGGGAGTCCGAATTGTAGGGCTAGTCGTATTCCAAAGGAGCATGAAAGGCAAGCTACAGCAAGCTCTCAGTATTTTTCACTCTGTAAAAGTTGGCTCGAGCGACCAAATGGTGGCTCGAGCGAACTTGGCTCAAGTGACCAAAAGATGGCTCTAGCCATCAACTCATGTTCAGCATGTTTTCAAAAGGCGTTTCGAATTCATATCTTCGTTCCCATCTCTTTCCGGGCATTCTTAAGCGTGAATTATGACTTATTAAGGATTAATAAGCTAAGAAACAACATAAGTAAATGATTAGGAAAGAGAGGAAAGAATCATTCGGTTTGAACATTAAGTTCATCTTTTGAGAATGAACCATGTAATCCATGTTTTTGAAAGAATTTCTAAGTATTCTTTGAAGTTGTGAATAAGCTATGCAAGTCCATGATTTGAAACTATGTGTTTGAAGTTTAACTTTGTCCTAGAAATTCTAGAATTCCGCCTCACCGCTTGAGTAAACAATCTGTCGCTCGAGCACACTTTGCACGCATCCAGTACTTTTGCAGACCAAAGGGTCCACTCGAGCGACCAATGTTGCGCTCAAGAGAAGTACCCTATTTCAAGAAACGTTGAAAAGTTTTATTATGTTTCGATTTTCGTTCTTTTTCATTTCTGAGCATTCTTAGGTATACATTGAGCATTCCAAATGAACTAAAAAGTTAGAAAGAAGTCTAAGAAAGTTAAACGAATTAAAGAACAAATTGAATTGTATTGTGACCCAATTTCTGTATGTGTTACAAATTGTGTAGGGTCAACTCTGAGGATGAATCAGCTAACTGAACACTGTAAGTAATATCTTAGTAAATGTATTTTACTTATACTCTATTTTCTGACTGTTCACATGTGGTAAGATTTTCTAAACCTATGATTTGGTAAGTGTGAATGAGTTACCATCTTCTGTCTGAACAATATGATATTAATGAGAGTATTATCTGTACAGGTGAATGACATGACATAAACCTGAACAGTGGACCTAAGGTCATTCTGTATATATTTGAATTGGGCTTGAGGCCATTTTGTGTATTTCATAAAGTGGACCCAAGGTCGTTCTAGATCTCTGATAAGACTGATTGACTGATATGATATGATTGAATCTTTGATAAGACTAAATGACTGATATGATATGGCTGAATCTCTGATAAGACTGAATGACTGATTTGATATAACTAAATCTCTTATGACTGAATGACTAAGTCCGTTTGGGAAGATGGTTTGTGGCTAAAATAGCCACAAAAGACAAAATAGGCTATTTTAGCCACAGCAAACAAAACATCACATCTAACCCATAATCATTACACTCTTCTCTCACAAAAAAAGTCAAAAAAGTCAAAAAGCCCTTCCCAAACCAAGCTTTTTAGCCCAGGCTAAAATAGCCAAAAAAGTTAAAAAACCAAAAAGCCAACCCACTTCCCAAACCAACCCTAATATGCAATTGCAATAATTGAATGGCCATTATATACTATAAATGATTAGATCCAAGGTCGTTCTAATAAGAGATGACTGAATTCGATTGGTGAGTCTGTTAACTATTAGACTTGAGGTCATTTTGTACAATGTTGGGCCGAAGGCCATCTTGTTGAGAAATGATTGAACTCGTACCTTATATTCTGCTATCTCTTAGACCTAAGGTCATTTTGTCGCATGCTAGACCCGAGGTTGTTCTGATGTGAAACGCTTACTGATTATATATGCTCATTGATTAGATACACTTAGGCCTCGTTTGGGAACCCTCCCGTTTAGCCAAAAAGTTACTAAAAAAGTCAAAAAGTCAAAAAGCCAACAACCCATACCAAAAAGTCAAGATTCTCTTTTCTCTCTACTTTTTGCACATCTTTTCATAAAAAGCCAAAAAGTCATCCCAAACATACTAGTTTTTTTTAGCTCATATTTTAGCTAAATAGTCAAAAAATTACTAAATTAGCATGTTCCCAAACGAAGCCTTGTATGTTAAAAAGGGCTCATTCACTCAACCTCTTTACTTTGGTATTATTCACTGGGCATTAGCTTACTCTTTATTTATATGTATGTAGGTGAACATCGGGATGTCTAGCCCTAGCCTTAGTGAGATTGTAAAAGGTTACTGAGATTTTGGAGTCAGCCAAGGTTGCTTCACGCACAAGGCTTTTGTTTTGATTTTCTTTTGTGTACTTTTGATGGTTATGTAAGACCAGGTCTGTATATAAACCTTGGTTTTTGGTTTGTCAGTTTCTGAATGGTCCTGGACGTATATAATCTTTTATGTTCTGTTGGGTGTGAGTTATTATATATGTGTGAAAAGTTTTGTTATGTCATGTATGCACAACTCATTGGACAAAATTTAAAATTCTGCTTCCACATCTAGCTCCATATTATTAATTTTTAATTGAATTCTGTCTGAGGCCGTAGGTAATCTCAGGATTACTGGCCAGTTATGATCCTAACCTATAGGGACAGGTTCGGGTCATAACAGTTTTGTCTTGGTAAGCCCATTTTGGAAACCAATTTTAGTGAGCCAAATCGTTTACTTTGTAGGATTCGTTGAATAAAATATTAATGCAGAAAATCAAGATTATTGAATATCAATGGCTATATATTTGAATCATATTTGTTTTTATAAAAATGGACGATAAATATAATTTCAAGAATAGCCATCCCTTTTTTGTAATACAAATTTAATCCAAATATATAGCTACTAATGTCCGATCATCTTGATTTTTTGCTCGAATATTCTATTCACCGAGTCCTACAAAGTAAACAATTAGGATCACCAAAATTAGTCCCCAAACTAGCCTACCAAGCCCAAATGCCCTCTCACGTTGAGATGGCCAAGTTGAGAAAAATTACGGATAAATTATGTTTTGCCCCCCTTTATGAAATGCAAGTATGTATCTAGAGATCGGATTTGGCAAACCTTTAAATGAAGGATACATGGGTACATCTAAAAAGTGCCCAAAAATTAGACACGAGTATGTGGATATGGGTAAACATAAATGTATCAAAAATATATTATGTATTTTTCTAATAACATGGCGTTCTATTATAATTTCTTCTCAAACCAAAAATACCACACCTAATAATTTATCTTGACCACACCACACTATATCCATTGTTCACTCATATTTGAATTGGGATCTCACTAAAATATAAAATATAATATAATATATGATGATTTTATTATATATATATTTAAAAATAGATGATTTATTTTATATATATAATAAATAAAATAATAATTTATGTATATAATTATTTTATAATATAAGTAATTTATATTATATATGATTTATTTTGTTATCTATTAAAGAGAGGTAGAGAGAGGCAAGGAAAAGAGGGAGATCAAGCAAGAGAGAAGACATAGAAGGAGATCAAGTATCAAGCAAAGAAGATTGAGATTTGACGATTCCTGCTATGAAGTCCTAATCTCCGTTTTCATAGTCCTAATTGCAAGTATGCCATCTTTAGTATGCAGTATCCATTTTCTTACTACCGTATCCTAGACGGGTTCCATAACCGTACCCGTGTCATGTCATGTCGACCGGGATACTGTGTAATGTAGCTTCTGACTAATAACTAGTAAAGTGGGGGTGTTATTAGTGGTCCTTGCCTTTTAGGACCATTGGTAGATACTAACTTGGTGATTTATTACGAGTGTAATTGATTTGAATTTTAGAAATTTTAAATTAACCTTTTTATGTCTTAAATTTGGAAAATAAAATATTTACTAGGAACTTGGGCAAATGATGTCTAGATTTATGTATCGCACTCGCATCATGATCATATCTATTGTCAAGGCATATTTCATAAGTTTAAGAATTTCTCCACCGGACTTTGGTTCATCCCTTGGTAGAACTAATTTTTCAAGTACTGATGTTAGAATATGATTTTGAGTGGGCATGGATGTGGATGTGGGCAAATGCTCCTTGTTGATTGGCTTTTGAGCCTTACTTATTTGCCTATATATTTTATTTGTAAAAAGGTTATACCCTATTTAATTGATTATAGCTAGGAATGACAAGAAGTAGGGTATATGTTAGCAAGCCCCTAGCCCCTATCCCTGACCTATCCCTTATGGAACTCTACCACACCCCCAGCCAAACTAGTAAATATAACCCCCATCCCGACCCTACTCCGATCCGTAACATAATAAGAAATTCAATAACAATATTAATATTTAATAATTAAAACTAAAAAAGACTATTTATAATTAAAAAAAATATTATATATTGTATATATATTGAAATTATATTATATATATAACATAATAAAAACTCAATATATATTATATATATTCTATAAAAATTCAACAATATATTATACACATGATACATATATTGTAATATTATTATTTATTTATTATTATATTTGTGGATTGGCTAGGATTCGGATTCGGATTAAAAAAAAAAATACTCTCTTCCACCCCAAATCTGAACTTAATCGAATTTTTCAAATCCAACCATACTCTATTTAATCATCCCTAAACTCATTCCATTAAGATCGGGAAGAGTCGAGAGCCTGACAAATCAAAACATACCATCCTTAATTATAACCCAAAAAACATTTAAATATTTTAAATTATAATTACATCTCATGCCATGTTTATAAAATGATGTGATTGCCAGAAAAATTAATTCGCATGAGACATGAATTTAATATTGCATTTTGGAGAGCCAATTTTTGAGATTTTTTAATTTTAATTATTTTGTTATTCCATGATTATACAATTACTCGTGCGTGCTACACTTCTAGCCATTTTCTTTATCAATAATGCTTGAGATTATTAAAAGTAGTGCTCTAAAAGCACCACTAGTAACATGACAATGGACAAAACCCATTGTTTGTGTCTTGTATTTTTTTTTTATTAAAGTACTTACCAGCTCCTTAGTAATCCTTTAGAACACCCCCTTTTATTGGAGGTATCATTACCCATTTTTATCATTTTTCACCAATCACCTTGCTTTAATCCTTTTGGGTTGGATGATCCGGGGCGTGGGAGAGAGAGAGAGAGATAAACGATGGAGAAGAAGAGTAGGATACTGATAGTGGGAGGGACGGGAAAACTAGGGTTCGAAATTGCCAAAGCCAGCCTCCGATCTTCTCATCCCACATTTGCCCTCATCAGAGATGAATCCTCCACCGATCTCCACAAATCTCACAAGCTTCAAACCCTCTCCGATTCCGGCGCCACACTTCTCAAGGTTCTCTCTTTCTCTCTCTCTCTCTCTCTGTCTATAATAAATCACATCTTTGTATCTCTGTGATTGTAGTAGTCCTCAAAAGAATTTTAATTATAGGGTTCCCTAGAAGATGAAACAAGGCTCATAGAAGCCATCAAGCAAGTGGATGTCGTGATTTGTGCTGTTTCGTCCAAGCAGGTCCTCCTCCAGAAGCTTCTCATTTCAGCTATCAAACAAGCTGGGTGCGTCAAGGTTCATCCCTCTCTTCTCCCTTTCCCATTTCCTCACGCACATTGCTCTCTATTTCAACATATATATATATATATATATAGATTTATGCTAAAAAGTGGTTCATATCTGGCTAGTTTTAAGAGTTTTTTTTTTCCTTGATGCTTTGAGAACTTCAGGACCTAATTATAAATCAAATCAAACCAAACCAAACTAAGTTTGTGTTCTAATCAATTGGGTGGGCTACATAAATTATTTTTTGCCATTTTGCTTTGTCAAGATTTATATATTTGGTCAAATTAAATAAATCTTTTTTTTTTTTTACCACATCCCTATTAGCATGAAGCATGGTAGTCCAAAAATGTCGCCGTACTGGTACTAGGTATTGGTACTCGTACCGATAGGGTTACATACGCATTAGGTACTCGAAATATGTACCGGATATTCTTTATATATTCTTTGGCAGTTGGATACTCGATGGGTACTTGATGGGTGATTCATGGGTATATAAGGAGTATACCAAGGTATGGGACATTGGTGGGGATATGTTTAATTTATTAGAGAGTTCTTATTTACTTGAAATTGTAAATCTTTTACTTGATGTGTCAAAAATGAAGGATGTATTATTCAATGACGAAATTGATGGAAGTGAAAACTAAAGTTTTAAGTTTTTAAATTTTGTTTAACTTGCTTTTGGAATAAAACTTTGTTTTGTAATTTCTCCTATTTAATGACGTTAAAATAGCTTATACGCTTTGCTTTGGTGTTGGTATTGTTGAGCTATGATTTCTATTTTAGTTTTCTAATTTCTCTTTTTAGTTTTGGTATTGAACTTTGATTTGTAAATTGAATCTCAAGCTATATATTATAAAAAATAAAAATTTATTAATGTACCCCAGCTATACCCGTGTCCTATTTTGCTTAGGTGTTGCTGTATCGGCATACCCATATCGTACTCGTACCAACCATGCTTCATAGTCCATTAGTTTATGTCATCCCTTCCCCTAACATTTCTTGGTGATCATATCTTTTTTCTTTTTCTTTTTCTTTTTCTTTTTTTTCCTTACAATTATTGTTTCTATAGATTTTCATTGTTCATTACCAAATCATCTTGGCATGTAATCTCTCAACTGATCTTCAATTGGTATTATTTATACCATTTCACAAGTATATTCATTTTTAATTTTATATATTTTAGTTGTACAAGGCATTCATCTAAGTATTATCATATCAATTATACTCATTTTATGAAAGTATTGTTCTATGGTACTTCCTAGGTGTGATAGGTCATAGATACAAGTTTGGTGCAAGGAAGAGAAGGAAGAACCCAAGTGCTTTTCTGTTTTACTTAAATTTAGGCATTTCTCATGTATTCTTAGTTCATCCTCATAATAAAATCTAGTATGTAAAGAGTATAAGATGCACAAACTTGCATTACTCGGAATTTATTTATTTTTGCTTCCATTGTTTTGTAATTATATATATGGTCAAAAAATTTATATGAGGCTATTTTAATTTTATTTAAATTCAGATTTATGGCAACAATCTTTATGAGGATCATACCACATTCCCTTTTTTTCACCCAAAAACATGAGTGATAAGTTTTCTTGTTTTTTTAATAAATTTTGGTTATCCTTCTTCGTAATTATTCATGTTTCAAAAGTATTCACTCTGTAGAAAATAGTTATGCATGAATTAGACCATTAAGGGAATCTCCTACAAAATGAATTGGACTTATTTATTCTTTGAGGTTTATAGTTCTGGGGAGATAAATGGAAATTCTCATTATGCACCATTGTTTTTTTCTTCTTCTCAAATGAGGTACCTACTAACTTGAATTATTGCAGAAATTCATTCCATCTGAATTTGGAGTGGATCCATGTAAAACTCGAATATCTGGTCTTGACCACAACTTCTATGCGAGGAAAGCAGAAATTCGATGTCTTGTAGAAGCAGAAGGCATTCCATACACCTACATCTGTTGTAACTTCTTCATGAGCTACTTACTTCCATCGATAGTTCAGCCAGGCCTAAAGTCCCCTCCAAGGGACAAAATCAAGATTTTTGGAGATAAAAATGCAAAAGGTCTGTTAATCAACATTTACCTTGGGTTCATTTCACTTTCTTGGTGGGACACTAAGGTCTCATAATCTTCAGAAGCTAGAAATGTTCAGCAAAATTTTGTTCCTTTTCGTTTCATCCTCTGCAGGTGTTTTCATGAAGGAAAGTGATGTTGCTTCCTTCACCATCAGTGCTGTGGATGATCCACGCACATTGAATAAGGTGCTTCACCTGAGGCCTCGGGGAAATGTTTACTCCATGAATGAGCTGGTTGAGATTTGGGAGAGTAAGATTGGGAAGAAGCTTGAAAAGATTTATGTGCCAGAGGAGGAGCTTCTCAAGAAAATTAAAGGTATGTCACTAGTGTGGATAATGTGTATCTATTATACACAAAGGCCTCATTTGATTGTCAGATGGGATTATTAATAGGATTGCGGGGATAACTTGTACTAATGGGATTAGATATGATAAATGATTGAATAGATGAGATAAATGATTAGATAGAGGGGTCTGCATGAATTTGTATTGCTCCATACTTGACTGAGTCGCTTGTTGCATTTTTCAGAGACTCCTTATCCGGACAACATGGACATGGTTTTCATATATTCCGCATTTGTAAAAGGGGATCATACGTATTTCGATATAGAGTCATCCGGTGGGGTGGATGGGACAAAGCTGTATCCACACCTGAAATACACTACAATAAATGAGTATTTAAACACTTTATTGTAAGATTTTACTTTTTTCGCTTTTTGTGAACTAATTGTAACTATTTTTTTGCCTCTCCTAACCAATGCATCAAGAATTACATTATGTTGCGAATACGAACACAGATTGCTCATATGCCATATGTTTAGAACATCTTCAATTCTAAATGCCAAATTGAGCATGCCATTCCCAAATTTTTGCTATATATTACAGTACAAAAATACCAAAAATTTGTCAGCCTTGCTACAATGCTTGTGTTATTTTTGGGGCAACCATCATCTCATCTTTCTAACCACTATTGGATCATAAAATATAGGGAAAATTACGCTCCCCTCATAAGGTTTAAAGAAAATACAGTTAAGTCTTATATTTTTAACATAATTATACTGACCTTCGTCAAGGTTCTAATTTACACCATACTTGCACTTTTTTATCAGTAATTCGTTAGTCGTATGAATGAGAAAAATAATATTATTATATTTTTTCTACTATAATGTAAATTTATTTTTATTTATTTCATTGCATGTCTGCCATTGGCATTGGTTTTGGTAACTTTAACAATATCAAAAAGGAGATTAATATAATTATATCAAAATTATGTGATTAATTATCAGAAGAGGTGATTGTAGTTTACCCGAAAATGTCCAATAATTAATAAAAATGTCAAATTTGACAATTTGTCAAAATTTCTCTCTGAATTTATTTCTAAAAGTGGTCAGTTTTTGTTTTGGGTGGAAATGAGATTATTTTGCATTTGGTAACACATTGTCAGGTAGGGGTGAGCATGGTCCGGATTAGATCGGATTGGGGTAAAATCAGGACCAATCTGTTATTTACGGTTCCTAAAAAATTGGAACCAATCCAATCCATTTAAATCATGGAACCAATCCATTTAAATACGGATTGGATCGGTTTAGGACCACGGATTCACATAATTAAATAAAAAAAATATATATATAACACTTGAATTTCATAAAAATATAAACATAGCGCTATATTAGTTCCATAATAGCAACATGTTTTTCTATAATAACGACATACTGCTCTAGAATTTAAACAACCATAAGAAAACTGGTTTCACCATAAGTATTTAGACCATTGCAAATTAAAACTTAAAACTAACAAACAAAAGTAATAAAAGAAGATATTATACGGTTTTAGGTTTGAGTTTAGATTTTACATAGAATAAGAAAAGATACTATGGGGGAGGATGTATAATAAAAATATAGACTATTTGTATACGGTCCGGATCGGTTCCAATCCGGAACCGTGGGATTCAATCCGGAACCAATCCGTGAACTACGGATTTTTAATTATTCAATCCGGAACCGAACCACGGATTCAAAAAACCAATCCAAACCTATCGGATTGGACTGGACTGGATCGGATTACGGATTTCACGGATTCCTTGCTCAGCCCTATTGGTTTTCCCGTGGTATTTAGGATCCTTAGCGTAAGCGAGTGCAGCCATGCTGTCACAATGGATAGTCACAGGGTTAGAAGTGTGTGTGACAATATCCAAATGCTGAAGGAATCTCCTCAACCAAACGGCTTCCTGAACGGTAGATGAACAAGCCACAAACTCAGCCTCCATAGTCGATAAGGCGATACAGGATTGCTTCTTACTGCTCTAAGAAATAGCACCATCACTAAGCAAGAAAACATATCCTAAAGTGGACTTACGCTCATCTAAGTCTCCTCCACAGTTAGTATCATAATAGCCAACTAGACGTAGATCTGAACTTTGGTAGCAAAGTGTGTATCTGCAGTCCCTCTAAGATATCATAATATCCTCTTAACTGTTTTCCAATGAGCTAGTCCTGGGTTAGATTGGTAATGACTCACTAATCCGACTGCATAACAAATATTAGAGCGTGTACACATCATGCATACATCAAGCTTCCAATAGCATTCGTGTAGGATACACGATCCATTTTTTCATTCTCTTCTGGAGTCTTAGGACCCATATCAAGGCTTAGGCTCTCACCTCTCGCAACAAAGTGTCTATGGGTTTGCAGCTCTGCATCTGGAATCACTCTAGGATAGTCATAATGTAAGTCTCTTGAGAAAAACCAAGAAGTCTCCTAGAGCGATCCCTAAGGATCTTAACACCGGGCACATAGCTCGCCTCACCCATGTCCTTCATTTCAAATGTAGAGAACAACCACATTTTAGTAGCGACAATCATCTCCTTGTCATTTCCAGCCAATAATATGTCATCTACATATAATGACAATATCAGAAAAATGTCCTTGGACCGCTTAACGTACACACAGTGATCTTCATCAATCATCGTAAACCCATTAGAAACAATGGCTCGATGAAATCTCAGATTCCACTGTCTAGA